CGATCCTTATTTCGCCTATGACCTCCTTGTGTGACTAGAGCTGATTGTTCGGTAGTGGGTGTGTGAGGAACTGAAATGGAGGTTACCTGCAAGAGACGTTTGAACAACTCAGTAGTCCCCGGGACAGTGTTGCTTCCAAGAATTTGATTCCGAAAGCTTTCAAATTCTGGTCCTAATTTGGTTAAGAGAAGTATTATAAATAATTCTCTTATTGGGTAAGTTGCTCTGCGGGTGTACCACCAAAAGGCATGAGTGTACCAAACTCAGCGATCAAACTTTGGGCTTTGCCAAGGAAAGTTTCCATATCAATACCATCTTTCTTCATGTTAGCTAAATTGTCAACAACATTGCAGAATTGAGAGACATCATTAGTGTATAGAGATTTAGCTTGATTCCACACCTCGATACATGTCTTAAAGAGCCGAAATAGGAGCAACAATGGTAGAGAATGAGACTGCCAAAGGAAACTACAAAGTTTAGCATCTAACATTTACCAAACTGCCTTTTCGTTTACCAGTATCATATCCACTCCCTTTTGTAAGTGGTCAACAACACCTTGGCCCATAAACCATAACTCTACGGCATCCGACCAAGAGTGGTAATTTTGAGAACAACATAATTTTTCAAAAGTGATCACCGGGCTTCTAGACAAATTAGACACATAAATAGAGCTCGAAAAAGTAGGTAAGTTACTGGCAGGAAAAATAGTACCCGAATTATCATAATTTTCGTAGAGGACATCGCGACCAAAAATAAATCTGATGGCGCAAAAGGAATCGAGGGGGGCCGATGAGCAAAACTAAAGAGTGTCGCCGGAGACGGCCTCACGCGCCGTCGGAGCGCTGGCTACCCCTTCTTATGCCCGCAAGGCCAGCCCTTCTTATGCCCGCAAGGCCAGCCAATTTCCGGACGACATTCGTGCCCGTAGGTGCCGGCGCACACAAGCTCGCGCTTCAATCAAGCCTTTCCGAAGTCATCTCTAGTTGGAATTTGATTTGCACCCCCCCCCCCCCCCCCCCCACGCGAGAGAGCCTCTATGCTATACAATTCTACAAGCTCTAAAAAAGCTCTTGTATAAAAAGGGGGGTCAAATCCTCTTTCCAAACCAATGTGGGACAAAGCTCACTTTTCCTTTCATTTTTCCAACTCAATGGGTCTACTTTGAGAATCAATATCTCATTCACCCATTATCCGTTTTGAGCGTACAATATATCAATCTCTTCGTCTCACTACGAAGAACCCGAATCCACTTTGACCCGACCCAAATCGGAAGTGGACCCCACTGATTATTATACCACAAAATAGGCACATAAAAAGTCATTTTAATGCTATTTTTCTAACAACCAGCGACCAGCTTTGGTCGTCGGCTTCTCTGGCGAAGGAGAAGGCAACTGGAAGCCGATAACATCATTTTTGGTCGCTGGTTTCTCCAGCAAAGGAGAAGGCCACCAGATAATGCATTACTTTCACTCCAGATAATTCATTACAAATGCACTTGATTGTCAGGATGTGATTACCAGTAGAGTTGTTTCTTTGATGATATTTTAGGCAGATAAGGAAGCAGCTTTATTCTGCAATTAATGCATGATCATCCAAGATTGAGCCATGAAATGCACAATGACAAAATCAGAAGAAAAAGTGACCGTACGGTCCAAAAACTTTGTAAGTTTATGGACAGAAATTAAATTGAAAGGACAGTTAGGTATATAAAGAATTTAAGAGAGAGGCAAGGTAGGAAGGGGAAGCCTTTCCAATTGCAGTAGCCGTACTCTTGGACCCATTACCAAAAACAATAGATGGAAGGGACTTAGACTTGGTGAAATGAGAAAATAAAGATGAGTTACCAAAGATATGGTCAGAGGCGCACCTGAATCCAGGTTAAGATTGAGCAACACTTCCTTGGGTAAGCACCGATTTCCCATGAAGTTTCTAACACCGATCTCGTGTGTCTCCAGTTGTATTATATTATAATAATCACAAATTCAAGTGTTTTTCTGTCCACCACGATCCTTATTTCGCCTATGACCTCCTTGTGTGACTAGAGCTGATTGTTCGGTAGTGGGTGTGTGAGGAACTGAAATGGAGGTTACCTGCAAGAGACGTTTGAACAACTCAGTAGTCCCCGGGACAGTGTTGCTTCCAAGAATTTGATTCCGAAAGCTTTCAAATTCTGGTCCTAATTTGGTTAAGAGAAGTATTATAAATAATTCTCTTATTGGGTAAGTTGCTCTGCGGGTGTACCGCCAAAAGGCATGAGTGTACCAAACTCAGCGATCAAACTTTGGGCTTTGCCAAGGAAAGTTTCCATATCAATACCATCTTTCTTCACGTTATCTAAATTGTCAACAACATTGCAGAATTGAGAGACATCATTAGTGTATAGAGATTTAGCTTGATTCCACACCTCGATACATGTCTTAAAGGGCCGGAATATGAGCAACAATGGTAGAGAATGAGACTGCCAAAGGAGACTATAAAGTTGAGCATCTAACATTTACCAAACTGCCTTTTCTTTTACCAGTATCATATCCACTCCCTTTTGTAAGTGGTCAACAACACCTTGGCCCATAAAACATAACTCTACGGCATCCGACCAAGAGTGGTAATTTTGAGAACCACATAATTTTTCAAAAGTGATCACCGGGCTTCTAGACAAATTAGGCACATAAATAAAGCTCTAAAAAGTAGGTAAGTCACTGGCAGGAAAAACAGTACCCGAATTATCATAATTTTCGTAGAGGACATCGCGACCAAAAATAAATCTGATGGCGCAAAAGGAATCGAGGGGGCCCGATGAGCAAAACTAAAGAGTGTCGCCGGAGACGGCCTCACGTGACGGCGCGTGGTGTCAGAGCGCTGGCTACATGGAGGCGCGTGGAGGGTGATCCGGCTACCGGAATGGATGGGTCAGGGTCGTCGGAGACTAGAGAAAGGAGTTATAGTACTATTTTGACAAAAGAGTTCACCAATAGCAAGTAATCTGAGAAACTATTTTCGAATGAACAGTGACTTTTACTGTTCATGGGGAAAAAATATTCAAATTTTGACTTCTGATACCATGTTGAGAAAGATGTAGAAGAATGTATTGTATTACTTCCTTGTCTCAATAAAGTAACAATAGACAAATATATACAGATTTAAAAGACACAATCCTACAGACACAACTCTGATCTACACAATTCAACCCACATATTTCTACAGACACAATTTTTGTGTTTTTACAGTATATATATATATATATATATATATATATATATATATATATATATATATATATATATATATATATATAGGGTGCTTTTCTGGTGCACACCACACTTATTTTGTGAATTTGTGCACCATCATGGTGCGTTGATTTTTGTTGATCTGATGGTTCACAATTACAGTGCACCTTTCGGGATGTACCTAAGGAACACATAGGCGTAGTGCAAATGCGGAGATTCTGCTTTTTGAATTTTGAATTGTCGACTCCCTACTCCTACCTTCCCGTGCATGCTTATCGGATGAAGCTTGAGATTTGCCGAAGGCGACGGAAACCAACACGCGAGGAGTTCCGGCGAGTTTGGTTTTGACGGGAACACACGCGAGGAGTTCCGGCGAGTGGTGCGGTGTACGGACGTCGATCGGTGGCGATTGCAACTCCCTTGATCAGCTCCCCATCGCAGTGCACGTCGATCGGTGGCTGGGCGAACCGGCGAGTGGAGTGCAGTAGGCATAGTTGCGATGAGTGTCACGGGGTCTCTAGCGATATCAGGTAAGCATCCCTGCGCATGCATGTCCCCCTGTTTTTATTTACTACATAGCGTACGATGAGAATAGTGGTGTGGGTTGTATTAGGAAGTTCTGCATAACCTTGTAATTACATTAGAATGAATGCATTTTTTCTCACCTCCTACTCCCATACTACCCAGTACATTCACTTTACAGACTTGGTATAGAAATTTAATTTTCATGTTTGCAGGTTGTACCCATTGTTTTACCTCCAGGTCGTTACTGCAAAATATTTTGTCGGAATCAGTTTTGAATGTTGTTTTGGTCTTCAGCACCCCTTGAGGATTAGAGTCTAATTCTTCAATTCATAGTTATTCTATGTTGTTGGACTGCATATGAACTGTTAGTTTATAAGATTGCAAGAGAAATGATTTGGCATGGGAACCTTTTGGTAAACAAGACAGTGCTCTCAAGTATGAATGGCACCGGTCTGATTAACGGGGACCTCTACCGATTTCTTACACCCATAAATAAATCAGCACTAAGCATTAATCACAGAAATACAAGTTCATACCCCCAGCATGCGATACAAGTTAAAGAAAATACAAATGCAAATTAATTATATACTAGCTAATTCATTATTTTTGAACCTCATTCGTTAACTTTATTTTATTTTGTGTGTTTTCAGCGGGGGTTTTATGGTTTGTAATGACCATATCTTAGAGGTATTTCTGTTGTTGTTACCTTCTCCTGTAACTTTATGAGAGTTCACTGGCTCACTGCTCTCCTAGGTTAATAACAGAGTAAAATGAAGCCAACTATACAAACTATTATGTTTAGGATCATAACAGAACTATCCCCAGTTTGATCAGCCAAACAAAAAACAGTACCCAAAATGCACTTAAGTAGAGCTTTTAAGATAGAGGGCCTAATTAATACTTGCTCATATGAACACAGTAATGGTAGTAATCAATGTGTGATGCCAATTTTTTTTTTTTTTTACAAAAAAAAAGTGTGATGCCAATTAATGTCCTCTCTTCATTCTCAATATATAATTCCTACTGTATTGGGTGCATAGGATACCAGGATGAACACCATAGGAAATTTGTTAATGAGCACCACAAGGAATTTAGAAATCAAGGTGGTTTTGGCGTGTGTTATATGGTTTTGTTTAGTTTTGCACTGACATTATTATAAGTTGGTCGTTGGTGATAGACCCATCAAACTGGGAGGTTTTCTTTCTTGGATTTTTCGTCTCATTTGATTTATGTGTGTGCTTTCGTCCACAGGTGCCCATGCGAGTGAGGCCGACAATGACTACGTCTCACATGGTGTTCGCGAACTACTAGCCGAGCAAACCACGTATTGGTGCCCGGCTGTGGACAGCGAAATCACCCCGGTTGTTGGGCGGCGTTTCAGCACATTGGCCGAAGGCATCGACTTTTACACTAACTACGCACGAGTCTGCGGGTTTGATGTGCGGCTCCACACCACGGAACGGGCCCGCGACGGGGAGACCGTGATGCGTTATTTGGTATGTAACCGAGAAGGCATTAAGGGTGGTGGCATTAGCAAGCCTATCTGTGTACACGCAGATAGTGGAGGTAAGAGGAAGCAAAGAAGAAGACGGATATCTCACAGGGTTAAGTGCAGAGCCCGGGTATGTTTTAGAAAGGTGAGCAGTGGGGAGTTTGAGATAACTGTGTTCGTTGAGGGACACAGTCATCGTATGTGTTCTGACGCATCGAAGCTATTCATGAGAGTTAACCGAAAATTGGATGTGGCACACCAGGCGTTTGCAGCAAACTGTGTTCGAGCGAATGTTGGCTCCTCCAAAGGTTTCAAGCTATACAGGGAGGTCACCGGGTCATACGCAAATGTTGGTGCGACGGACACCGAGTTCCACAATTTCAAACGGGACCTCCAGGTATATGTTGATGGCAAAGACGGTGAAATGATTATAGAGAAGTTTAAAACAAAGCGTGCTATGTGTGAGAACTTCTTTTTCGACTACGATCTGGACGAAGAAAATCGAGTTGCGCGACTTTTCTGGGCTGACCCCATCGGTCGTCGCAATTTTTCGTTATTTGGCGACACGGTCTCATTCGATGCTACTTACGGTACAAACAGGTATGAGCGATACGCTTGTCGTACGGTTTCTTTTTCGTTTTTTTGGCCGGAACTCTAGTGCATGCTTAGAACACTGTGGTGCATGTCGTGCGCTTGTTTGTATCGTGCTTTATGTTTGTGTGGTAATTACTTGCCTCAAATACCCCCCCATTTCCGAATTCTGATAATGAGTATGACAAATTAAAGTTAATCATGACACATAATACACCCCAAATTTTGTTCCATTCTAACTCGGGGAGAAATTGTTAAACTTTTGATTTATTAATCATGGGCATAGATGAAACGGTGCTTACCCATTTTGACTTAATTACATCAATGCAACATGTTTCATTTACAGCCAACGTTTTTTTTTTTTTTTTTTTTTTTTTTTTTTTTTTGTATTTTTTGTGGATTGTATAGTCTTGCTAATTTTGTAAATTGCCGATTTTGATGAAGGTACAATCTAGTATTCGTTCCGTTCACCGGGGTGGACCACCATAAGCGGTGCATTACTTTTGCTGCCGGGTTGCTCACTAAAGAGGACGTTGAATCGTACACTTGGTTATTACGGGGGTTTAGGACTGCAATGAGTTCTGTCCCATCGTGCGTGATCACTGATCAAGACCCGGCTATGAAGATTGCTATTGCTCAGGTTTTGCCAGATTGCCGGCACCGGTTCTGTATGTGGCACATTATGACAAAGGTGAACGAGAAAATTGGGTCTGACTTGGTAAAAGATGTGCAGTTTCGTAATAGACTAAACGGTATTGTCTGGAACGAGACCATCAGTGTAGGTGAGTTCGAGGAGCAATGGCGTTTGTTAATGGAAAAGTACAACCTAACAACCCACCGCTGGTTCACCAAGTTGTATACTGAAAGGGAGCTCTGGATCCCTGCATATTTTACAGATTTGCCCATGAGTGGGTTGTTGCGCACTACGTCCCGATCTGAAGCAGAGAACAGCATTTACGGGAAGTGTTCCCGACCCCACTTCAGTCTGGTGGAGTTTTATATGCAGTACGAGAGTATACTGGAGACCCAGCGTTACAAGCAAAGCAAGTTAAACGCCGAGAGCGAGGGGTACTTGCCCGATTTCAAAACCCCCTTGGCACTTGAACGGTATTTGGCACAGATGTTCACGATAATAATTTTTTATGAGCTACAACACGAAATTGAAGCTGGGTGTTTTTATTGTCGAGTGGTTGGTATCCGGGAGGAGGGGGAGGTCATCACTTACGACATAAGAGGGGAAGGCACGACTACCTACACTGTGCAACACACCCCGGTAGGGAATCATGCATCATGTAGTTGCAAGCTATTTGAGCGGATGGGGTTAGTTTGTCGTCATATGTTCTTGGTGTTCAGGGATGCACAGATTAAAAGCCTGCCGTTGGACTATGTCCTTCCACGTTGGTGCAAGCAGGTTGGCGGTGTTGTATGTTGCAGGCAGTGTAGCGATGTTCCTTCTACGGACTCTGGTCCTAGCCGAATATGGAATGCGATGCACACATGCGCTGCATTGGTAGGGAGCGACACAGAACGGCAGTCGCGACTGGTGCAAGTATTAGAAGATTTGAAAGGGGAATTTATGAATGCTGGTCCAAACATTGCCCATGCAAAAGGTAACAATGCTGCTATCGTGGCTTTATGTGGCGTTGCACCCCCGGCATCCATCACCATCAAGCCCCCTGTTCAAGCTAAAAACAAAGGGACGGGCAAGCGTATTAAAAGCCAACGTGAGTTAGCTGTTTTGAGCAGTGCAAAAAAAGGGCGTAAATGCGGTGTGTGTGGCGAGTACGCCCATCATAACGCTCGTAGTTGTCCGTATAAGTGAGGATGTGTTGCGGGACTGTCATAATAACAACCCCCACCCCGTATCTACCCCTGGTAGACATTGCGGGACCCTTTGGCGGCACCTTTTTGTTGTTTTCCATCTTTGAAACGCATTGCGTTTGTAATTGATGAAGTGCAATACGTTGCACATAGAACGGGCAGTTGGTACACTTTCTTCTTCTGTAGGCCTTTAAACTTTGTGTAGCACATACTTTGCGTTGCTCCCCTTGATAATTTGAAACGCTATTCTGTCATTAGATATTAATTGGTTAATTCCCATTTAAACATGTATATACTCACGCAGCAAACATGTATACACTCACACAAGGGATTGAAAAATGAATATAATAAAAACGACCCACCATAGAGTCCGGCTCGGTGTTTGTTTTGTGCTTGCAATTGTGTGGCCTAACCCCCTGCTTTAAATCAATTATTCCACCACTACCATAACCAGAATCCCCACCGGAATAGGGTGGTGAACGACCCTACCAGAAATAAAATGTGTTGCACCACTCCGTGCTAATGCTAGTGGCTATATATACACTAATAAAATAACATTATCTAGTGTTTTTACTGTTCCATTTTTGGCATCCGGTACTACTTATAACTATGACAAGTCCACGTGCATTCCCCCTACCATATTTCTGAGTTCTGATATTTATTCCATAACAGTATTCAATGTTGTAGCAAAGTACCACACAATGGAGTGAAAAATGAATATAATAAAAACCCGTGCTTGAGTATTTTAAATCAATTATTCCAGCAATACCATAACCAGAATCCCATTTGGAATAGGGTGGTCCAAAAAGGTACTGAACGACCCTCCACGAAATAAAATGTGTTGCACCACTACCGTGCTAATGCTAGTGGCTTTATATACACCAAAAAAATAACATTATCAAGTTTTTGTGCTGTCCCATTCTGCATTTCCTACCCATGAATCAACCGTTCCGATCTGATGGAGTCGTACTCCCCCACCCGTGTGACAATGGTACGCATATGGATATTTGCCTCACTGAGCAGAATGTTATGCAAATAACGCCTGCGCAAGTTTAGAAACAATGTAGCGTCACCTGCATGTAATCCAGTGTGCCATTTCGGGCAGCGGTCCCCCATAAACGACTCCATATGGCGCATCGTATATATTGCCGATTCTGCGCCACACGTGGTTTCACCCCATAGCAACGACATCCTCGTGGGAGTCATGGACCTCAGTTGTAGTGCACGGACTGGCTGATGTTTCGCTTCAAGGTATGCAGCTAACAGGTCAACCTGCAAACAACACAGGATTACAATATGGCATGCAATGGTACTAACCGGTGGGGGGGACGACTATGATTGCGTGGGGGTTACCATTTCGCCCGGAGCCCGCCCATACATTTGGACTCCTGTGTTTGTCGGTGGTGCACTGTCAATGATGTCGAAGGCAGGATTCTTGAAATTGATGCTCATGACATAGTAACGGGCTTGGTGCATTATTGCAAAAATATACTGCCACGTTGTACAATTATGTCAGGGAAATTGTGTATATTACAGAACATTTTATGCACAGATCATGTCGTTACCATGTCTACTGTGGCCACCCCCATGCGCCCTATAGCATGGACCTCCGCATCAATACGGCGTGTGAACCACGAAAGCCGTTCATTTCTGCTGGCAGCAACGTTCACGACAGCCCCAATCTGCACACCCACTCACCATCGCAATGTAGTAAAATTAGAGTTGGAACAAAGCATGCAGTCAGGTTCAGGTATTAATTTTATCACAACGACAACTGACATATACATATTTTAAAAAACAGAAGGAGCAAAATGCACCGGACCCCTACACCCGTTAGTGCTTTTCTAGGTACATACCGTAACGGTTGTTGTAAAGAACAAGCGTGAAGGCACACTCCGGCCCCTGGGTCTCTCTCTCGCATTCAGCACAAGACACCAAGCATCTACTACCACCTTGGAGACGTTTGTACCCTCCTTTAGCGTGTGCAGGTTAGCCCATATTGCTTTTCGATTAGCATACTCGAATAGTACTTCATTGCTATCAAGTTAAACATACACCAGTTATTGCACACAGTTTACGAGGTTGCGTCCATATCCCTACATGTGGTGTACTCTACTTACCGGTCACCGTGCGGCGAATTAAAAAGCCACATCCAGACAACATATATTGGTGGTAGTGGAATTGCGGGGTAGCCCGACGCTGTGCTGAAAAAAAAACCAACAGGCTCAGGCTCTCGATCGATGGGTCTTTTGCCTTTGCGGTCTGCCCTTAACTGAGGTGGTGACTCCGATATGGTGGTCCTGCCGGGGGCACGTAGTAGAACCTGCATGATGAACCGTACGTGTTAATAGAATTGCACCAGAATTGAGATGCATTCACATAACAATTTATCAATCGAGACAATCACTATCTCCACAAATCAACATTATTCAACAATAGTATTTAGGTTATTCACTGCCCATTTGATCTTAGACCTAAAGATCAGCAATGATACCTGCGCAGTGGGCGTCACTTCATTTGACGGTCCAGCTGTGGTACCTTTCTGGCGCGGTGCAGTGTGCGATGCTAATTCTGGCGTGGCCCTTGGCCTAGAACTTGGAACGGACGACGGCTGCACCAAGTAGTCCGTGCAAACATCAGTAATCAATTTGAACTGCACCATAACTTGAAATCATTCACATAATGCACTGGGAATAAAAACAGATTACAAAACACCAACAGACCAATATACTATACACTTGTACTCTACATCCAGATGCACCCAACACACACACACTAGTGCGCCCCCATGTTGCACTGGAACACCCCCCCCCCCCCCCCCCCCCTAAACATGGTTAATCTACACCCATTAGTCACAACACAGTTTCGTGCACTAGTAACATAGCTGCATATGTACATATATATTTAGTTGGTTAGTCGTGCACTTCTAGGTCTGGAATGCACACTTACCTCGCCAGCTAAAAAATCTCAATAGATACGTAAATATTCAGTTGGTTAGTCGTGCACTTTTTGGACTGGAATGCACAAAGCTACATATATACATCTATATTTAGTTGGTTAGTCGTGCACACCCATTAGTCACAACACAGTTCCGTGCATCTCGCTCTTTTGCACTATAATAATAGATTCATCACTGGAAAGAAGAATTAGCAGTGGTTCCACCAAGTATTCCGTGCAAACATCAGTAATCAATTTGAACATGGTTAATCTACCCCCATTAGTCACAACACAGTTTCATGCACTAGTAACACAGCTGCATATGTACATATATATTTAGTTGGTTAGTCGTGCACTTTTAGGTCTGGAATGCACACTTACCTCGCCAGCTAAAAAATCTCAATAGATGCATAAATATTCAGTTGGTTAGTCGTGCACTTTTAGGACTGGAATGCACATAGCTACATATATACATCTATATTTAGTTGGTTAGTCGTACACACCCATTAGTCACAACATAGTTCCGTGCATCTCGCTCTGTTGCACTATAATAATAGATTCATCACTGGAAAGAAGAATTGGCAGTGGTTTAACCCCTAAAAAATCTCAATAGATACGTGTATATTTAGTTGGTTACTTGTGCACTTTTAGGATTGGAATGCACAATTACCTCGCCGGATAAAAAATCTCAATAGATACGTGTATATATAGTTGGTTACTCGTGTTGTCCTAGTACTGGAATGCACACTTCTAGGGCAGAAATGCATAGCTATCAAACCCCCCAACACCCCCAACAGAACCCACACTACTATAACACACCCCCCGTAACACGACCACACACAATGGACAAGACAATGCACAAGGTAATGATCTTTAACTTTAACATGTTCATTCTATGCTCATTTCTTTCGTTTTTGAACATTGTAATCTACATTCCCACCATGCTTGAGGTACCATGACAAACCTGGTCAGTTGGTGTAATTACACCAGCCGTGGCAGCTGTGGTATCCACCACCAGCGGTGCTAGTTCTTGCGTCATTCCCAGACTAAAGCTCGGTGCGTCCCACTCCGTCACTGTCGTGGTGGAGCCCCCCCCGTGCGGTGCCTGCACAAAATAATAGGACCACACATTAGCAGCACAGCCTCGTTTAGAAAAACCCAGGTTCTACTGCCACAATACCCCTTCCAACCCCAATATAACTCCCCCGAACCTGTACAGTTTGCAATGCTCTAGCCCGCGTGGCTTCCTCTTCTACCCGGTCCAAGTCCCTCAAAAACTGCGTGCTCTGCCACACCGCATCCTCCTGGGGTGCACGCATTACTCCCGGCGTATGGTGAGGTGCTCTCTTTGAGTGCTCCGCGATTAGGGGTGCCAGTATACCCGCTACATCGATGATCTGTTGGAAGTCGTGATGTTCGTGAGCCTCGTTAGGATTCCTGCGGACCTCCTCTGCAACCCTCGCAGCTAAAGAACGAAGGTCTGTTGCCATGTTGGTAAACCCTCGGGCAAGCCCCTGCATATGACCACAAGTTAAAGCAACCCCCCCCCCCCCCCCCACATGCCACCCCCATTAATTCAATGATTATGCATACCATCGTTTCACCCGGAGTACGGTCAGAAAGCACGTGGTTACCCCCTAGCCGGCTAGAAGACTGGGGCCGTGAGGTCGATGCACCCAGATCATGTTGTGCGTGTGGGGCATCCCCTGCAGACGTTGGACGTGCGGTAGGCGCAGGTGGTGCACGATTCCGTTGTCCATCCTGTGCGTGCATTACAAAGTTATTAGTGAGGGTGTTATTACAACCCCCTGAGTACGAGGGTGTTTACCATTGAGCTAAGGTGGACTTGTGAACGCACCTGGAGTGCAGCACCGTGTGGTCGACTGGCGAGTGGAGCCCTTCTAGTAGTTTGACGCGGTTGTCGCGGTGCTGACTGATGCAATGGTGCATCCACCAGCCCGTTGCCAAACCCCCCCGCTGCAACCTCCCGTTCCTCCCGTGCTTCCAACCCCTTAGAAGTCCACCCATGCGACACCGGGGTAGTCCGTGGGACATCCCTTGCGC